ATTAAGAGGTGAGATACTCTTCCTCCTTTTCTCTGCAATAGAGTAATAGTTAGATGTTCTTGGGTTTTTGGGTCATTCGGATTTGTCGGTTTCATGTTCAGCTAGTTGTTTTTATGAACAGAATAGTGTCTTATGTTCTTAATTCGTGGATTTCTGTTCTGTTCTTAGATAATGTTCATGTTTAATGATGTTTTTTCTATGAATTTTTGTACTGAAACTGAGAGTCTGAAACAAAACCCGTATGTGTTTATTCTTGTCCATTAAAATTAAGGTTGTTTTTAGTTTCATTTGTGGTGTGCTTGTAACAAAATAATACTGTATATTTGACTTGTATATCGTCTGCAACTGTTTCATTTTCTATAAAAAGTGACGTTTTATTTATCTTGATTGTTGTTTAAAGATGATTGTTTGTTTAGTTATTTTGTATGTTTTTTTTTTTTTTACTGACTATTGTTTGTTACTTCTTAGCAAATGGCTTCATCGACATTCAAGAAAACAAACACTGGAGCTGACCAGCAAGATGGAGTTGAATCATGAACTTTGAAACACCAGATAGGTGTGGAAAGAGGAAGGAGACATGTACACCTTGCGAAGAAAATCCTGAGGCAAAAAAGGTGAAAAAAGTTGTTGTGCCAAGATCGGATGTCTGGAAACATTACACCAGGACAAAGCAGAGCCGTGACAGGTGCATCTGCCACTACTGCCAAAAGTTGTTTTCATGTGCAACAAAATCAGGAACTTCCAACCTCCAGAAGCACCTGCTCATCTGCAGAGAGTACCAGGCGCACTTAATCAGCAAAGGAAAGAGTCAAACTTCCATCAATGATGAAGGGAGTTTGAAGCCATCAAAGGTACCTGAGAAAGTTGTCAGAGAAGCTACGAATGAGCTGTTGGTGTTAGCTGAGTTGCCTCTGTCTTTCATAGACAATACATGATGGAAGTATTTCTGCAATAAGGTAAAGCGTTGATTGTACATTATTTCTCTGATTTATGAAAGTAATGTTATTTTTCTGTGAAGGTCAATATTTACAAACCTCACTCAAGACGAACTGCCACTAGAGACATTGTGGAGATGTTTCTGAAGAAGAAAGAGGCCTTGAAGAACTATTTGCACACTAACCAACAAAGAGTTCCCCTCACTACGGACATTTGGATTTCTCAAGTGATAGGTAATATTCTTTCTTTTCTGAAAAGTGATAACAATCTCATTTTTCATTTATACTAATAGCATTGTTTTAAAAAAAACAATTTGCAGGTGCAAGTTACATGGTTGTAACTGCACATTTTTTTTGACCCGACTTGGCAGCTGAAGAAGATCATCCTTGTTTTCAAACTCGTCATGGATCATAAAGGTTAGACGATTTCCACAGTTCTTTTAGAGTGCTTAGCTGACTGGGGAGTTGAGAAGTTGTTTTGCATTACGGTAGACAATGCCACTGCTAACACATCTGCTCTTAGGCGTTTCCATAGTCAGTTTAGGTCAGTCTCGCCTGATGCTCTGGTCTTAGATGGTAACTTTCTTCATATGAGGTGTTGTGCACACATTATCAACTTGATAGCTAGAGAGGGTCTAGGTGATTTAGGTGAAAAAGTGTTGGCAATCTGCAATGCAGTCCAGTATGTCCGGTGTTCTACCAATAGGTTAAACGCCTTTGACCAAAGGGCTACTACTGGAAAGATGTCACGAGGAAGTCTCCCGATGGATGTTAATACTAGGTGGAATTCAATATTTCTCATGTTATCAAGAGCTTTGCAGTTTAGAGTGGCGTTTGATAGGATGGAAGCAGAGGATAGACTGTACAATGACTACCTTTTAGAAGTAGAAAATGGTGTTAAGAGGTGTGGACGGCCTGATCTTAGTGACTTGGAATGCCGTGGAGAAGCTAAGGAGGTTCCTGGTCATTTTTTATAATAGCACTTTAGTTGTCTCAGCTCCCTCAAAGGTGAACTCCTATAAATGCTATGGTGAGATTGTGACAATTGAGAGGAATCTCAATGCATTGGCTTGCAACTTAAGACTCAGATTTGAAGTTGAAAGCTGAAGACATGTTGCAGAAGTTCTTGAAGTATTGGGATGGCATGAAAAATGTGAACAAGATGTTGATTCTTGCAGCAGTAATCGATCCCAGGAAGAAGATGACTTACCCAAACTTCTGTTTTGAGAAACTGTATGGAAAAGACAGTATCGAAGCCAAAGAAGTGAGTGACTCTGTGCTTGATCTCCTTACAAGCATGTTCAATGAGTATGCTATCCAGTTCAAAGGGGCTAGTAGTGAATCATCAAAAACGAAGCAGACTGAGACTGTGGCTGTTCAGGAGAGTCAAGATCATTTGGACAGGCTAAAGGTGGTTGTTGAAGACTTTGGGTATTTGAGAATGGACTCTGAGTACAAGAATCTTGTTGCTGATTAAGGAAATTAGCCAAGGGATGAGCTGGCGATGTACTTAAAGGAACCTGTTGAGAATCAGAAGCTTATGATGGGACTCGAGTTTGACATACTCGGTTGGTGGAAGGTCCACAAACTCAAGTATCTTGTGCTAGCAGAGATGGCGAGGGATTTACTTGCGATGCAGGTTCATTACTTTTGTTATTCCGTTGGTAGCGATTGTTTTTTTTAGAGTGCTTAGCTGACTTGAGGATTTACTTGTGATGCAGGTTTCATCAGTGGCTTCAGAAAGTGCTTTTAGCACAAGTGGCAGAATCTTGGATCCATATAAGAGCTGTTTAACCCATTACTTGATCGAGGTTCTGATGTGCAGTGAGCAGTGGCTGAAAGCTGATATTAAATTCTCTGAGAAAGTTCAAACAAATGAGAAGATTTTAACTGAAATTAAGCAGCTAGACAAGCTTGAGAAAGCTATGTTTTATTTATTTTTGCTTTTCTTAACATTTCATTTGATTTTTGGTGTACTTAACCAACCTTTTGTTTGTCGCTTCAGAGTTTAGGAATGTGAGAATTGAAGACTGAAGATTGCTTGGGAGAAATACAGTTTTTATATAAAAAAATAGATCACATTTTTCTTTACCTAATAATTTTTTAAGAAGTTTTAATTTAAACAAAGTTATAATTATGTAAAACTCTTTAAAAGATAAAAGTAAATAGTTAATTTTTTTTATAAATATAAGGTACGTGTTGTAAATCAAAAGATTAATATTTTGAAAATATTCTCTTTTGGAGACCAAATATTTTGAAATCTTTTAAAAAGATAATTATATTCCAGTAAAAATTATTTTAAAATAATAAAATATATTAAAATTTTAAACTTAAATAAATAATATGTTATTCTTGCAACTGATTTTTTTGACACCTATTCTTGCAAATAAATAATAAGAACAAAATTAAAATATCACAAAACAAAATCACGTTAACAAACAAATATATATCAAATTTATTCTTATATACCTCTTTTGGTATTTTAATACTAATATAAATTTATAATTTTACAAATATGCCATGACATATTAAGTTTACAAACAAATATAAATAAATTTATTTATTTTTAAAATTATTTTAAATCTTTTTAGTATAATGAAAATTTTAACTATTTTATTTGTGTATATACTAATAATTATAAAATTAACAAATAAGAAAGAAAGATGTAGATAAACACAAAATAAATACACAGAATTGTGTTTTTTTCTCAAACACGTTTTCCCTTTTTTTGAGATATTGTTTTAATAGTAATTTTTAATCAGTTAAATAATTAATTGTATAATTATTTATTAAATATATCATAACTTTAATGAATCTAATTAAAATGTTTAATAAAACAATTTATTCAACCTAAAATTATGGAGAACATTACAAATAATCAAATTCATTTCTCAAATAATAGATAGATAGATGTTGGAAACATAACAAAATAAGAGTTAAGCAAACAAAGTATATTTGATCAAAAAACAAAGCGAGACCTAAGACTTGTTGGAAACATAACAAAATAATGTTCCAACAAATCACAGTCTACAAAGCAAATAAAAGTTCATAATAAGTCGTTATGACAACAAAACCCTTTAGCTAGCTGCCACAAGAAAGACCTAGACAACATATCCATGCAGATGTGAAGATCTGTTGCTTTCATATAAAAATATCTACAAACATTAACGTCTTGCACATCAGTTTTCTTGAACCTCTTGTAATAAAATTCATACATTCGAATAACTATTAGCTACAAAATAAGATATTGTGGACCCAAATTTTTTGCCACACCTGGACATGAACCAAAATACAATTACTGCTTATATACTAACACACCTTCATAAAGTAAAAAACATCGAGCACAGGAACTCAACCTCTCTTGGAAACAAAACCCCAAATCAAAATATCCCAAACCATGCAAACCAAACGGGTGATCAAAACATAGCTGATGGATCAAAAAAAAATTGTTAACTCATTAGAGAACAAAACGTATGAATCCGGCGCGTAGCGCCAGCATACCACTAGTGATATGTAAAGTACTCTACCTCAGATTGTATATTATCTGAATTAAAATTACAGTCAGATTGAAACAGGTTTCACACCTGAATGTAGATTATATCGACCCTGACCCGATCATATATTGAATCCGAGTGGAGCCTATGAGGCTGAACCCGAAGGAAGTTAATGAAGCTAAAATTATAAATTCAAAAAATCAATCCGTACTCGAATGGATATGCAAACACCAATGCTTACTTGAGAGTACTGTGTTTAACGATTCCATACCATTTAAGCCCATGCGATAATGTAATGGGTCAAGCAATGATTAGTCAATAGATTAGCATGGTTTCTTTTTTCTTTTTTTTGCTTAAAAGTTAAATTAGCATGGATTCTTTGGATAACATTATAAGTTGCTGATAACTTAACTATACAATTCAAGTTAGCTGTGAGAAACCATATCGATTCAAAGTAGAACAATTTCACAAAGCTTAAATCAAAGATAGTCCAAAAAGCCCCATGAAACAGCATAAAAAAAAAAGACAATTGCAAGATAATCCGATTGTTAACAATGGAAAAACAAAAGACTTAAACAATAGATACCGTGGCGCCAGCTTCTTCGAGCTGTGTCTTGGCTTCTTCTGCTTCATTTTTCGTCACGCCTTCCTTGAAAATCTTCGGAAAATCTTGTGTGAGCTCTTTCACTTCTATCAACGGCAAGCAACTCATAGCCCTAATCGCTTTAGACACTTCAATACGATGACCGATGGCCACGTCGTTGATAACCACATCGAACTTAGTCTGCTCCTCCACAGTAGCCGTGGCACCGTCACCGTCCACGGGAGGAGAGAAGACAGCTGCCGCTGCAGCAGTGGCGGAAAAGAGTATAGAAACACCGTACTTGTTGTGGAGGTAGTCGGCGAGGATGCGGGACTCTTTGAGTGTCAGAGAGGAGATCTCTGATCCAATCTTCTTGATATTCTTGGGAGCTTTTACGGCGGAGATGGGACGGAGTTCGGCCGCACGGTGGCTTGGGATGCAAGAAAAAAAAGAGCAACGGATAGAGGTTGGCAAGGAAAGAGTCATAGTTACCATTCTCACTCTTTGGATCTTCTTCTTGAGATTTTCTTTTGTGTCTCTTTTGTGCGTTGCTTAAGTGCGCCGGAGAATAAGAAGATGAAGAAGATTTATACTAAAACCTAAATGTTTTACGATCCATGGTTAATGTCTAATATCCTTATTGTATGAATTAGCCAATTAGTTTAGTTTCCTGAAGAGTGCATTTATGTTTTGGAAATCTTTTCCATCAGTTTAAAAATTACCATGTATGAGTTCCACGAATGTTTCCATATTTTTAAAAGTTTTTCTTAAAATTAAATAGAGAATCTTAGAAGATTTCGTAGGATATGGAGCAAAATAGCAAAAACTCTTCAAATTCTGACCGTTCTTAGAAGTCTTGTCATCACCTCTCTAGCTATAGTTGTTTCAGTTGTTGAAACTTGAGTGAATCTTAAATGGCAAACCGGTTTAAATGCTCTCGCTGACGGGACTTAACTCAATGAAGACCTTAAACATAAGGATTGTCCAGGTTTACACAAGTATGTTACAATACGGTTTACCAATTAATAACAACAAAAGCTTTCTTTAATGAGTTTTAGATTCTTGATGTAAAAAAAGAGGGAGTGGTGGTGTAAATCTTTGTCCCTCAAATTCTTCTGTATTTGGGTTTGTTTTTTGTCTTCCAATGCATATAATATATTACAGTATAAGTATATTAAAAATCAAACGCGCCCGTGGCCTAATGGATAAGGCGTTTGACTTCTAATCAAACGATTGTGGGTTCGAGTCCCACCGGGCGTGCCAACAATTTTAATATCTTTCCCCACATCTCCCTAAATTAGCAAACTTTCCATTCTAATCATTAAACCTTTTTGTTTGTTGTTGGTCGTAATCTCAAAACTATACCAATCTCCTTCTGGTTTACAGTAACAGCGATCGGTAACTCAATCACATTCTCTCAAACAATCCAACGACTTCTCCTCTCTCCACGTGGCAGACTATAAACACATCGATCCTTCTCTCACCTTCCCCAAAGTTGTCTTCCCCTTCTTCCCTCACTTCCCCGTCTCCTACAAGCTCATCGTTCGCGATGAGATAAAACATCGCTATGTCTCTCCACGTCTAGGCGCCGTCTCTTTCACAGTCATGGGTCTGTCCTTCTCGAACCTAAACGGCGACCATAACGGTTCTTCGTCGATCGGGCCCAGCCTCGGAGACATACCGGAGAGCTGCGTGGCGTGCGTGATTCTCCACCTGACTCCGCCGGAGATTTGTAACCTAGCTCGTCTGAATCGAGCGTTTCGCGGCGCGGCTTCCTCGGATTCGGTTTGGGAGAGGAAGCTGCCGAGTAACTATAAGGATCTTCTTGATCTGTTGCCGGTGGAGAGGTATCGGAGTCTATCGAAGAAGGGTGTCTTCGCGTTGCTCTCTCGTCCTGTTCCGTTCGATGATGGTAACAAGGTCTGTTTTGGGTTTGGTTTGGAAAAGGTTGAAACTTTAAGGGTTTAGGGTTTGTTTCTATGCTAAAAATGTCTTCTTTAAGTTCGGAACTTTAAGGATTAGCTTCATGATTTTGATGTGGGTATGTGCTGAATTGAGGATTAAGGTTTGTTTCTACACTAAAAATGTCCCCTTTATGTTTTTATGGGTAGAAAATGAGGATTAGGATTTGTTTCTACACTAAAAATGTCCCCTTTATGTTTTTATGGGTAGAAAATGAGGATTAGGATTTGTTTCTACACTAAAAATGTCTCCTTCTTGATGTGGGTATGGATTGAAACTGAATGTTAGGGTTTGTATATATGCTAAAAGTTACTCCTTTTTGATGTTGGTATGAGTTGAAGTTGAGGAAGTATGGATTGAAACTGAATGTTAGGGTTTGTTTCTTCACTAAAAATGTCTCCTTTTTGATTATTTGGTTGCAGGAAGTGTGGATTGATAGAGTGACAGGACGGGTATGTATGGCGGTTTCTGCAAAAGGGATGGCTATAACTGGAGTTGAAGATCGTAGGTATTGGAATTGGATTGCTACTGAAGAGTCAAGGTACATAATTTTTACATTGATCTTTAGAAGATTCAGCTACTACTAGGTTTCGGAACTCAGAAGCTTAGCAAAAGGAACTTAGATATCAAGAGTGTTGCATTGCTGACTTGGTTTGTGATGTGAGTTTCCATAAACTGCTGATTCTTAGTATCTACTGCGTATTGAATGTTTGCATGAGTGGTCTGTCGCAGCTTTTCATTCAACTTTAGAAGGTTCAGCTACTATTAGGTCTCAGAATTTTTGCAAAAGGATCTACATATAAGAGTATAGCATTGCAGAAATGTTTGTGATCTCAGTGTCAAATAGGTATTGAAAGTTTGCTGAGTAAGTCCGTCTCAACTTTTAGGTTTTGATTCATAGTTGTTGTGATGGCCTCTTATCATGAATTGATGTAAGATTATGTGTTATGTTATGTTACTGTAATTGCTGTATTTTTTATTCTTTTTGCTTTGGACAGGTTCCATGTTGTAGCCTACTTACAACAGATTTGGTGGTTTGAAGTAGATGGGATGGTGAGATTCAATCTTCCTCCTGGTATATACTGTCTATCCTTTCGAATACACCTTGGAAGATTCTCAAAAAGGTTGGGGAGACGAGTCTGCCATTTCGAACACACGCACGGCTGGGAGATAAAGCCTGTAAGGTTCTCACTCTCAACTTCAGACGGGCAAGAGGCGTCATGTGAGTATTACTTGGCTGACAAAGAAGGAGACCAAACAGGTAGAGAATCCTGGAGGGATTATAAGGTTGGAGAGTTTGCTGTGGGTTGCTCTGAGCTAGCAACGGAGGTACAATGGTCGATGAAACAGATAGACTGCACGCATTCGAAAGGTGGAATCTGTGTGGACTCGGTGTTCATCATCCCAATAGATGTGAAGGAACGCAACAAAAGGAAAGCTGCTGTGAGATCATAGTTAGAAAGAAAGGCAATGTACATCAACACTTTTGTACATACTACCATACAGTACTTTGAAAGTGTAAACTGTTTGACGACTTGAGCTGGCTCTTGGATTAGGTAATAGTAACAGCATTGTGAACTTGATCTGAGTTTTTGTTTTTACTTATTACTCCATGTGAAAATCAAATTTGTCCTGCACAGCATGATATTGAAAGGACACAATTAAGGGAGTCCAAGTGTACAAAGCTGTGAGAAGCTAGTAATGTGACATAGATTTGCTTTGACTAATCTAACTTGAAGTGAAAGAGGGTTTTGCTCAATAAGGACCACTATTTTCTATGAAAGGGACCAATAGTATAGTTAATTATTAAAACGTGTATTCTTGTTACTCGAAAGTCCATTTCTTATTGAATGCTAGTTTTGTTTTCATGATGGATACTGGAGACGATGACAATTCTGACTTTAGTTGCCACAAAAAAGATATTAACTGGCAAAAGGAAAGCCAGGTTTTGTCTTCACCGGTTTGGCACTTGATTCTCAAGTCTGTCCAAACGAAAGACTATTCGTCAAATATCTAAAAAAAAAACAAAGCTTATAAATTTCACCATGTTTTTGATCAAAAAATAAATAAATTTCACCATGTTTTTTTTGGGGACAAGGGAATCGTAAAGTTATGGACGGAATTTACAGAAATCTATAATCCTTAAAGGCGAAACTGTTCAATACAAACTAAACTAGATGTAAATGGTCCAGATATGTAGCTTTAATCCAAAAGGAACATGAATGTCAAGTCCTGCTCTTGTTCTTGGTATCTGCTTTGAGTTGTTATCCATGAAAATGGTTTCATACAAAATTGATCAACACTGTACTGTAATCGATGCCAAACAAAAAATTTCATGATCTTGCCTAGAGAAACTTCCGAGTACAATATATTAGATAGGTGCAAAATAGTATTAAAAATATTGTGAAGTAGAAAAGTTTCAAGGTAAGTGCAGAGAGATATGAGTGGGCTAATGATAAGTGCTGGAGGGCATATTATCGGAAGAAGACAAAAGGAGGAGTGAAAGGGAGCTTGACTGATCATAACGAGAAGTCAAGTGAGTGATCAGTAGATCAATCTATCATAACGGCTAAAATAGAAAGTCGTTGAGAAGCCGTTAGAGCGTTGACTCATTTGGAGAGTATAAATAATGGTTGCAAGATTCATTTGTACGTTGGCTAAAAACTGAGTTGTATTTTTTGGCTCTTGAGTAATTCTCTTGAGATTAGGCTTAGTTTGTACTTACAGACTAAGAGTTGTACATTTGTGTGAAATAATACAAAGGAAGTTACATTGTGCTCTATCATTTGGTGCGGTGAGCGCTTCGGAGTATGCGATTTGACGATGACGAGATCGGCGGCGGCGGTGGAGCAACAGATCGGCGAATCGGTTCAACGGATCGAGATTTTGGATACGACGGTGGCGGATTTGAATCGGAAGATCGATCGTTTGGATGAACGCGTTAACACTATTGTCGCGACATCCCAGACGAATACTCATTCGATTCAAGCTTCGATGATGGCGTCCGATGCGAAGATCGATAGACTAGAGGCTTCGATGCAAACTCTTATCGCATCTCTGCAACAAAATCAAGTTCAACCGAATCAGGACGAGTCAAGTGGACCGAGTCACAGACAAACACGAATCAATCATCCTGCTCAGGTAACACACTCTAATCTGGAACGTAACCCGAGGGAATCTGAACTAGGTTATCGGAATTTAGATCGTACTGAGGAAAATAGGAAAGGCTTATACAAGAAAGTCGAGATGCCTATCTTTACGGGACAGAATCCGTTTGACTGGATAGCAAGAGCAGAACGTTATTTTCGGGTCACTCAGAGTAGTGAGCAGTATAAGATGGAGCTGGTTTCGTTGAGTTTGGCAGAGGATGCACTCAGTTGGTTTAACTACGAGGTTGAGTACAGCTTGTTTGAGGACTGGCTTGAGTTCAAGAAGCGGTTGTTATCTCGTTTTGCCGATTCATTTGAGAAGACTCCCGGGAAACGTCTGTTTAGTATTCAACAGCAAGGCTCAGCTGCAGAGTACATCAAAGAATTTCAGGAACTGGCTTCACAAGTGTGTTTAGCTGAGGAGAACTTGATTGATATCTTTTTCAATGGCTTAAAACAAGAATTGAAAGAGGTTATTAAGATGAAGGAGCCACACACGTTACCAGATCACATTGAGACGGTATTGAAGATGGAGGATAGCGAGTTTTGTCGAATTCTAGCTTCCTCTAAAACACAGGAATAGAAGACTGGAAGACTACCTAACAACAGTTCGAGCAAACCTTCAACCACGTATACTTCTGCGTCGTGGAGACCAAAACCGACGACTGCAGATACAGGACAAAAACCACCGGAGAAACAACTACAACCACGGATGAATGGGAAGAGTAATCCGCCTCTTAAACTCTCTGATGCAGAGTATGATTACAAAAAGAGGAATGGGTTGTGTTTCAAGTGTCCTGAACGTTGGTCGAAGACACACTCTTGTAAAAACAAAACTTTACAAGTAATGATCGTTGCTCAAGACTGTGAACTAGAGTTGGTTAAAGAAGAGTTTCATGAAGCATCTGAAGGAATCGAAAACCCGGAGGTTATGGAGTTGTCATTATAGTCATTCATGGGGTGGTCTTCACCTACAACAACAAAGATTCATGGGAAAGTGGGCAAAACGTCAGTAATAGTGTTGATTGACAGTGGTGCTACACACAACTTCATCTCTCCTCACATAGTTTCCTTGGCGAATTTAGACACATCAGCTCACAACAACTTCACAGTGCTTGTGGGTACTGGTATATCGGTTAAAGGTTCTTTGATCTGCAAGGGGGTTCAGTTACAGCTACATGCAGTGAACATTCAGTCCGACTTTATTGTTTTAGAACCGGGTATCGCATACATCATTTTGGGAGTGCAGTGGTTGAGGACGTTGGGTACTTGCGAAGTTGATTGGGAAAGACAGACTCTCTCATTCATGACTGCAGAAGGGAAGGTCACGTTACAGGGCGATGTGGACAATTCTATGACCACTAATATTACAGAAGAGGCTGCTTCAGGGTTGGAATGGGATGGAGATACGGTCAAACTTTTTTCTACAACAGTGACCAACATGACAACAACTCCAGCAGCAATACAGGCAGTGGTGGATCTCCATTCAGCAGTGTTTGCAGAGCCTACGGGTTTACCACCAAAACGAGGTTATTAGCATGCTATAAGATTTTGGGAAGGCGCTAAACCGATGTCTATCAGACCTTATAGGTATTCCTCACACACAGATGGAAGCGATTGAAACAATGGTTAAACAGATGTTAGACACATGAGTAATTCAGAACAGCAGAAGCCCGTTTTCTAGTCCTGTTCTTCTGGTTAAAAAGAAAGATGGAGGCTGGCGTTTTTGTGTGGATTACAGAGCCGTGAATAAAGCAACAATACCTGACAAATACCCGATCCCAGTTGTTGATCAGCTACTGGACGAACTGAATTGCGCAGAAATCTTCTCTAAATTGGACTTACGCTCTGGATATCACCAAATACGCATGGTTGATGCTGATATTGAGAAGACAGCGTTTCGCACACATGAAGGTCAGTATGAGTTCGTGGTTATGCCTTTTGGACTCAGCAACGCACCAGCAACATTTCAAGCCCTTATGAATGACATTTTTAAACCATTCCTCCGCAAGTTTGTTCTGGTTTTCTTTGATGATATTCTGGTCTACAGTAGTACTAAGTCAGTGGAGGAGCATGTTATTCATCTAACGGAGGTTTTTCAGAAGTTACAACAACACAGTCTGTTCGCCAATCAGAAGAAATGTTTGTTTGGTCAGCAACAGATGGAATACTTGGGACATATTATTTCGGCTTCAGGTGTCTCAACTGATCCCAATAAAGTAGCGGCAATGAAGACTTGGCCAACACCACGATCTGTCAAAGAGTTGAGGAGTTTCTTGGGGTTAACAGGATATTACAGAAGATTTGTGAAAATATATGGCGTGTTGGCTAGACCTTTAACAGATCTGTTGAAATCTGATAGTTTTGAATGGACTGGTTTGACTCAAAGAGCTTTTGATGCGTTAAAAGAAGCAATGATTACAGCACCAGTACTCGCCTTACCTGACTTCTCCATGCCTTTTGTTATTGAATCAGACGCTTCAGGATACGGTTTGGGAGCTGTTCTAATGCAGAATGAGAGGCGTATTGCTTATTTCAGTAAAGGTTTGACTGACAGGGAACAAGTAAAGCCAATATATGAACGGGAATTGATGGCTATTGTGCTAGCCGTGCAGAAGTGGAAACATTACCTTATGGGGAAGCGTTTCATTGTGCGTACGGATCAGAAAAGTCTTAAATATCTCCTGGATCAACGTGACATTTCTTTGGATTATCAGAAGTGGATGACAAAGTTACTTCGCTATGATTATGAGATCGTTTACAAGGTGGGGGTTGAAAACAAAGTAGCGGATGGTCTTTCTCGAGTAATGATTGACAGACAGATGGATAGTGCTGGGGTTTTATGCGCAATGACAGTGTCTTCCTCAATCCAGATGCAGAGTATCTTTGATGAGGTCGACGCCAATGAAGAGATACAGAAACTCATCAAAGCAGTTATGATGGATACAACTCCTAAAGTAGGATATACAGTAGTGGGAGGCCGGTTATTCTACAAAGGGAGGTTGTTTTTGTCGAGGACTTCTCAGTTTCTTCAACAAATTCTACATGAATATCATGATGGAGTTATGGGAGGTCATTCCGGCATTCTGAAAACCATCAAACGAATTCAACAAATCTTTTATTGGCCAAAAATGAAGGAGGATGTTAAGAAGTACGTGGCTGAATGCTTAATATGTCAGAAACATAAGTATTCAACACTACGTCCTGCTGGCTTACTTCAGCCTATACCGCTACCATCATCAATTTGGTCAGAAGTATCAATGGATTTTATCGAAGGACTTCCCAAATCTGAAGGTGTTAACGTGATTTTGGTTGTGGTTGACCGCTTGAGCAAGTACACACACTTTCTCAGTTTGCGTCATCCTTTTACAGCTTCAGTTGTAGCAGAGAAGTTTGTAAAAGAGATTGTTCGTCTTCACGGTTATCCCACATCAATCATATCAGACAGAGATCGTGTCTTCTTAAGCATGTTCTGGCGAGAGTGTTTCCGTTTGGCTGGGACTACATTGAAGTTTAGCACAGCTTACCATCCTGAGAGTGATGGACAAACGGAGGTACTCAACAGATGTTTGGAAGCGTATCTCAGATGTTTTACTAGTTCTCACCCCAAGTTGTGGCACAAATATCTTGCTTGGGCAGAGTTCTGGTATAACTCTTCTTATCACACCGCCACGGGCACCACTCCATTCAAGTTAGTGTATGGTCGAGACCCTCCTAGTTTGCTTTGGTTCGAAGAGGGGTCCACTACTAATGGAGAGCTTGAAGAATTGTTGAAAGCTCGTGACACGGTGCTTCGTGATGCTAAAGATCATTTACTTAAAGCTCAGGCTCACATGAAGAACAACGCATATAAAAAGAGGCGTGATTTGGAGTTCTCAGTGGGGTCTTCTGTGTTTCTAAAGCTCCGTCCTTACCGTCAAACTTCGGTGAGCAAATCCTTTTGTCAAAAACTCGCGGCTAAGTACTACGGTCCATTTACTGTATTGGAAAAAGTAGGAAAGGTGGCTTACTGTTTACAGCTTCCAGCTGAGAGTAAGATCCACCCTGTGTTTCACGTATCCCAGCTGAAACCGGTATTGGGGAAGAGTCATGAGGTGACTGCTTTACCGGAGATGTTGGAGGAGAATGAAGAGTTTATCCTGTGGCCAGAACATATACAAGGCACTCGCTACGATGCTGAAGGTCATCTTGAGGCCTTGGTTCAATGGAAGGGCCTACCGACCCATGAGAAGACATGGCTTCGTGTGAGGGATATTGCGCGAGATTACCCTTCTTTCGAGCTTGAGGACAAGCTCAGTCTTACCGAGGGGGGTAATGATAAGTGCTGGAGGGCATATTATCGGAAGAAGACAAAAGGAGGAGTGAAAGGGAGCTTGACTGATCATAACGAGAAGTCAAGTGAGTGATCAGTAGATCAATCTATCATAACGGCTAAAACAGAAAGTCGTTGAGAAGCCGTTAGAGCGTTGACTCATTTGGAGAGTATAAATAATGGTTGCAAGATTCATTTGTACGTTGGCTAAAAAATGAGTTGTATTCTTTGGCTCTTGATTAATTCTCTTGAGATTAGGCTTAGTTTGTACTTACAGACTAAGAGTTGTACATTTGTGTGAAATAATACAAAGGAAGTTACATTGTGCTCTATCAGCTAATGCTATAACACCATTCAACGTCTGCCACCACCACCACCCAACTTAGCAGCTTTGGGTGCAGCACTCTTGGGAATATTTCCCTTGATCTTTTGTTGCTTGGAAGCAAACTCGGCCTTCTTTGCCTTCTTCTCATCCTTGGTCTTCTTTATTCTCTCCTTAATATCACTGTAAGAATCATCAAAACTCGTTTATAGTCTAATCAATCACAAATTTTACAGGTTTCAAAAGATGGAACTAACCGTAGAGCAGCTTCTCTGGCGGCATCACGAACTTCAGGTTTCTCTGCTCTCTTCTTTTGAATAACTTCCAAAGTAGCACCAACGATAGACCTAGAGTACGGCTTCTTGGTTGCACGTCTCCTCTTTTTCACAGCCTCTTGAGCAGCATCCTAAAGAGAAAAAAAAACACAATTTAGAATCAAAGTCACAGACACAAACTATAAGAAAAAAACAAGAACAATGCATAACGAGACTTAACCTTTTTGTGCTGTTTACGGTACATGGCGGTCCATGCAAGCTTGGACGGTTTCAACTTATTGTGAAAGTAATGCTTACATTTCGAGTTAATGAACAAAAACACCTATTGAATCATCATGATCATAAAAATCAATAAATAGCAAATAAATATAAAACAGTCATATTAAAAAAAATGGAAGACAATGTGAGCAAATGTACCTGAGAGTCAGATCTGATGAATCTGATCCCCCTGCCTGGGTATATCTTGTGACCACTGAATCGGCAAAGTTCAGTCCTACATAGTCAACACAAAGTCATTGGCTTAGGAACAAATAGTTAAAACAGAACACAAATTAATCTCTCAAGTTCTTGAAAATGTGCCAAGTAAAAATGGTAAGTTAATGAATTGCAAACAAGAGAGATAACACAAGAGGAATTCTAGTTGTGACCGAACACAAACCTATTTAGTTGCAGACCATTTTGACCATAACATGAAGCAGAACTAACATCTTATACAGTAACAACAATGCAACAAGACCTATGAGCTATGCAGGACGAAAGAAGGGAGAGAGATGAATATTGAATTACTTGAGAACCATGGCTCCGCCGCGCTGCAACTTTTTGCACTCAAAACACTAAAAAATCTGTGCTTTAAGATTAACGATTTGTGTTTAAGGTAATCCCTAGCTTTTAAGTAATATAATGGGCTTATTCGACCTAATTCAGCATGTTAGGCTCAATCTATAAAGTATTTCAATATGGTCAACCCAGTAAAAAACACTTATCTCAATTGTTATGGGGGTACACCCAAAGTTGGATAAGTAGATAACAACAGCCCATGCCGGCTATGTGTGTGTGTTTTTTCTTCATCAAACGGCTCTTCTATTACTCAAATTTGAAGTAGTCTAGAAAACCAGATCGGAATAGAATAACCAATGTAATACGGACTGTAAAAGGATCTTACTATCTTAGCTAACGAATCAAACAATACATTTTTACCATAAGGAATAAAAGAAATCGAAAACTCCTTGAATCTACTCTTCAATCTTGAGAACTCGTGCAATTCCATGTCGGGCTATGTGTTGAGATTGTTTGCATCTGAAAATTTAGGGATCATAAACACTTCTCAAAAACCTTTTGTAAATTTTTTATTTTCATAATTTGGGAGACTAAAACCTATGTTAAAAATATCAAAAAGTTATGGGTATCAAACTTGATACAATAAAGATTAATAAGCTTTGTCAACAATAGATAAAATTGTCAAAATCGTTGTGTTCAAAAGGTGTGTATTTAATGGGAAACGAAAATTAGTTCACGTATTAAACGGGGATTCGAAATAGTTCGTGTATTTTAAAGGAATTTTCCTTTCACAATTTACGACGTACTTAATAAACATTAACGTTGTCGCCAACTTCCATTAAACATATTTAACACCGTCTAAAGTGATACGTAAATCCTACGAATTTCAAAAGTTTCGTGTATTTAATAGATAACAAAAATTAGTTCATGTATTAAATATGGAGCCAAAATAGTTCGTGTATTTTATTAGGAGATGAAAATTAGTCTGTATTTTTTAAAAATAATTTTCCCTTCTGAAAACAAGTAAGTTGATGGTTTAATGTAAAGTGCTAATCTGTTATCGGTTCTGTAGGAAACCAAAGATTTTTTTATGGTAATTGGGTTTATAGGAAAGCCCGGTAAAACTTTATGACCCTGAAACTTTTTCTATATAAAGAAAGACACATCTTCCCTGTAACTGCCTCTCTCTCAGTGTTAAACTTCTGAAAGTTCTCTCAGACGAAGCAGTAATGGGATTTTGGATTTACAAGGTTTTATGGAATTTTTAACTAATAAATTTTTATTAAATCTGAACCAGATTAACTATAATCTGAGCCGGATAAAAAAATATTGCCTGAAAATTAAATATAATAGAACAAATCCTTTGAGACACTAAAATAACAACTTGGCGTTACAGCAATTTGGCGTTGCTCAGCGGTTCTATCTAACCATCAATTCTCTGATTCTTTGGAAGATAACATTTGTAGTCTTTTCAGAGTATACAAAATGTTACCAGAGAATGATGTTAATCGACAGCTTGTGTTTTGGATTGTTTGGATCATTTGGAAGTCGAGAAATGAATTTCTCTTTGAAAAAAGGAATGTACATCCGAGTGAAGATATTCGAAGAGAAACTGATGCAAATACAGAATGGTTTAAGTGTATAACCACTACAAGAAAACTAAGCATTTACTAGGAAACTTTACTAGGAAAATAATTCCTCGTAAAATTACTACGAGTTTACTTCGAGTTTACGAGGAAACCATGTTTCCTCGTAAGGTTCTCGTATACTTACGAGAAAACAATTTCCTCGTAAAGTCGTAGTAACATTACTAGGACTTTACGAGGAAAAAAACGCGGGCATAG